CCCGATGCGCTGCCTGACTGGGCTGCTGGTGGTGGCCATGAGTCTTTGGTACATTCTGAGACTATTCCCTCCTCTTGGCCCTGCCCTACAGGGCCTGAACTTCCTGTATTTTGCAATGTGGGAATTTCTGGGGCCTCCTTGACCCAGGCCTGGGCTGTCCTGGACATGGGGTGCTCAGACTCCTTTGGTGTCCTTGGCAGAGCTCAGGAGGAGGCACTGGGACCTGCCCCCTCCAGGTGGGCTCCAACACCAGGTCCCCTCCTGAGTCACTGTGTGGGCCAGTGAAGAGTGGGGAGTGCCCAGCCCCTGCAGCCCTGCTCCCCAGCTTTCCTCCTCTTCTTCCTCTTCTACTCTCAGAAGCGCCTGGGCCCCAGGACAGGTCCTGACCCGTGAATTCACTGGCTGTGTCTCAGAGGCAGAGAGGGCATGTGGGAAAGATGCCTCCTAAGCCCTCCCCAATATTCTCCTACTCCTGCCCTAGACGGCCCCTGAAGTGCTGAGTTAGGTGGGACCTGTCTGCATAAGCTGATGCCCAGCCTGAGCAGCAAGTGCGCCCTGAGAGCAGCAGAAGCCCCTCACTCCTGAGCACCCCCAAGGCCATCAGAACAATAGCCCCCAGCCAGGGAATGGGGAGAATCATGTCCCAGACCCAGACAGGACTCAGGGAAAGGGTATGGAGAGACCCCTGCCCACAGCCCACACCCAGAGATTGGCCAAGTGTGGAAATTGTCCAGTCCTGGCATGAAGTAGGCAGCCCCAGAGGGCAGAAGGAGACCCACCTGCTGTGGAGACAGGCCCCCAAGGTAGGTGGCAAAGGGGAGAGTGAGTTCTGAGCCAGGGCTGGAGTCGAGGCCAGGCAGCTCTGGGGACATGGCCTAAGCCAGGGCCTTGGTCCAGGGCAGCCTGATACCTCCCTTGCCTCAGGTGGATACATCCCTTGCTCTGGGATAAACCACAGACAAGGAAGACCTCAGTATTAGACTGGGGGCACCACTCAAGAACCATGAGCACTCCCACGGACAAGGAAGACCTCAGTGTTAGACTGGGGGCACCACTCAGGAACCATGAGCACTCCAGAGACCCCGGTAGGTGCACTGTGGCCCTGAGAGGGCCAGATGGCTTCAAGGAAGAAGCTGAACAAGCCTGCTTTCCTTCCAGCCCAAGCAGAGAAGCATTCCAGGCTGGCCCTCCCCAGCTAGCAGCACACTGGGCAATGCAGAGCCTGGTCCTCCCCAATCCTTGCCTGGCTTCTGCAGAGCCCAGGGCAGCAGGCCTCTTGGTGGGGGCCTCAGTGACTCAGGCTATGGCCAGCTGGTCCCCATCACCAGATAGGCTACTGGTGGTTTAGAAATTCCTTTGCTAGGCATTAATGCCTAAGCTCCTAACACACCAGAAGGTTGGAACCCCCAGTTTCCTCATTATACCTCTATACCTACATTGACCACCCCCTATAGGACATGTCAGGCCCTCCCACTCAATTGGGGCCCTGTCACCAGGCCCTATTCTGCCCATGGAACACCCAGAGGCAGGGCCAGGGTCCCTCCCACCCCCTAGTGGTGGGTTCTGTGTCTGCCCACCTTTAGGGACAGGGACAGGCATGCTCCAGAAAAAGCCAGGTCAACCCCCAGCAAGCTTCCCTGCAGGCCCAATGGCCTCTCAGCCTGGGCACATCTTTCTGGACAGGGAAGGTCATCACCTGCAGTGTGCTGGAGGTGTGGGTGAGTGTGGGGTTCCTCCAGCCCCAGACAGCTGGCAGTGGCCCCTCCCTCTGGCCAATCCTTGGGACAGAGCCCTTCTCCCAGGGGATACGTCACAGAGCCAGAGGCTCCCAGCCCAATATCAAGTCAGCTCTTGGAAAGGGAGAGGGATCAAGGGCACTGAGGGCCCCCAGAAGCCAGGATGACCATGGAGGGTACTACCCTCCCAGAAACCAGAGAATTGCTGATGATCAGAACGACACAGGGCAGGTCCTGTGAGAGCTGTGTGAGCCCTGCTGCTGCTGCTGATCTGGCTGCCTCAAACCCGATGGTGCCCAGCTGGCTGCCTGGAGCCCTGCTGCTCCCAGTCTGGAAGCTCTGCTCCCTACTGTCAGCTCTGTTGCTGATAACTGGGCTGCTGTGTCCCCATTTGCAAAGTGTGGGTAGCCAGGGCCGAGGCGGCATCTGGGAACTACCAAGCCTTCAGCACCAACTGGCTCCCATGGTGAGAGTGAGGCAGGAGCAGGAGGAGGCCAGGTTGGACAGGCTGCCATACCATGAGTGGCCTCTTCCTGGCCATCAACAGGGCCTTGCTCTTTGAGTGGGAAAAGTGCTCCCCAACTTGAATAGTGTCTGGTGGCCACTGGGTGGGTTGGCTACTAGCAGGGCACCTCCATTGTGGGAAGGCCTCTTGGTAGGCTCTGGCACGCCTGCTGAACTTGGCACTCATCCTCAGGGGGTGTTGAATGGCACCTGCACCCTGGGGAAGGCCACATTGTGGCCAGGGGGCACTATTAGGAAGGTCAAGGCATGTCTCCTAAGAAAGCTGGCAAGAGCTTCAAGATCCCATTCCTATGGGGACTGAATGCTAGCAAAAGGACCAAGCCCTGAATGACAGGACCGGGCCTCCTCTTCACCTAGGTAGTGGCTTTCAGCCCCCATCTTTTTTTCTTTTTTTTTTTGAGACAGAATCTCACTATGTTACCCTCAGTAAAGTGCGGTGACATCACAACTCACAGCAATCTCCAACTCTTAGGCTTAAGCAATTCTCTTGCCTCAGTCTCCCAAGTAGCTGAGACTACAGGTGCCCGCCAGAACACCCAGCTAGTTTTTACTAGAGTTGTCATTGTTTAGCTGGCCCAGGGTTTGAGCCCTCTAGCTAAAGGGGTATGTGCTGGCGCTGTAACCACTTTACTACGAACTCTGAGAGAGCTACCATCTTATACAAAAAACGTGGCTTGTGAGTTCTCTATCTCTTCACATCACAGTGCCATCTGGTGTCCAGGCAATGTATTGCAACATGCATACATATTTTTTTGTTCTTTTTAGTTTTTTCCCAATTTTTTCCTTAGTTTTCTCCGTTGTTTTTTGTTTTGTTTAGTTTGATTGTATTTTTATTTTTTCATTTTTTACTTTCTTCAATAGTAACGGTTTCTGTTTTCTATTTCTCCTTTTCTGCTATGGGTTTTCAGCCCCTTTTATTCTTTGTTTTTTCTCTCCTATTCTCTACCTTTTGGTATAGATTTTTTTATTAGTCTCACCTTTCCCACATAAAACAACAACTAAGATATCCTTTTTTCTTCATCTTATGTAATTTTAATTTTCTTTATTCTTCTTGTTTTTTCTTTCTTTGCTTTATTCTATTTCATTTTGTATTCTATTTATGAGATAGAGCCTCACTCTGAGGCCTGGACTGGGGGGGTGGGCTACAGCATTGGTTTGGCTCAAGGAAGCCACGAGCTCATGGTCTAGTGTGTCCTTCTCGCTTTGGCCTTTGGAAAGACAGCACTGGTAGGTCTCTACTGCAACATACTGCTGATTTTTTTCTATATTTGGTAGAGGTAGGGTCTTGCTTTTGCTCAGGTTGGTAAGGAGCTCAGACTTTGAGGGACACACCCAGCCTGGCCCCCTACAGTCCTGGAATTGTGGGTGTGGGTCAAAGCACCCAGCTGAACACGCCATTTCTCCCATCTCTTTCTGTCCTTCTCTCCCTTTTTTTTTTGTTTTTCAATTTTGCTCTCCCCCTTTTTTATGTTTTTCTTTCCTTTCTCCTTTCCTTTTGGTATAAGACCACTTCAACATCTAGGCACAGAGAAAAGGTAATTTAAAGAGAAGGAGGTGGTGAGAGGAAAAAGTATGGGAAGGAAGTGAACAAGAAGAAAACACACACGAGGAGGAACTAACAGAAAAATTCTGGTAACGTGAGAAAAAAAGGAACAGAGCAACCCCCCCAAGGGATCATGAGGTAGCTCCCACAGAGGATTCCACCTATAAAGAATTAACGGAAATGACAGAAAGGGAACTTAAAAGATGGATCACAAGAACAATGAAGGGAATTGGTGAGAAAGTGGGAAATAACCAAAAGGAAATCCAAATCCTGCCTGACACCTATTTTTGGATGGTCCAGGAGACGAGAATGGTTTTACATTTGTAAATGGTTGGAAAAAAAAATAGGACATGAAAAATCATTTGAAATTCAGATTTCAGTGTCCACAAATGAGGCTTTATTGGAACAGTTACGCTGTTCATCATGTGTGGTCCGCAGCTGCCTTCTGCTGTGGTGGTAGAAGGTTCTGGGTTGATGCTGCTGGGATGTGGACTGGACTGGACACACCCATGATGGAGAACAGGAGGACAGTACCCTGGTTGGGGCCACCAGAAATGTGCACAAATGAGCCCTGGGCTTTCCCTGGAGGCCCTCAGGTTGCTTTGCCTTGATGTAAAATATTTCAGCCAGACCCTTAAGGGCCTTCCAGTCACTGGGGAAAGGTTCTTGTACATCTCAGTGCTCACTGCCATGCCCATGACAGAGGTCAGCAGCTTCCTGAGACTCTGAACTAGCTCTGGGCCTGATGCCAGGGGACATTCCCCTCTCTAGGAAGGGGGCTGGACTTGTCAGTGTTGGGGGCTTTGGACACAGCCCAGGATCCCCCAGCAACTCCCACGTGACCAGAGAGGAACCCATAGCTTCTCACCTGCCGAGCTATGGTGATGACCTCAGCTGATGGGCCACTGCCTGACAACTGGGGAGACACTGCCCTGTCACTGGTCAGACTATTCTGTAATGGAAGGACACTGCTTATCACTGGTGAGTGTCCTACACTGGAGGGATAAATTGGGGACAGTGCCCTATTACTGGGGGCACTACTGGAAGGTGGATGTGGATGGTAGAGATTTCTGCTTGGGATACCTCTCCAGGCCAGGAAGCTGCTGCCCTTGTTCTTGTTGCAAAGATGCAGCCCAGAGTGGCTGGAGGCTCCTAACCCAGCAGCTCCCATCAAGCCGCCACTGCAGGGCGGGGAAAGCACACGCAGCGCAGGGGGCTGAGATTACACCAGATTTATTACAGCCTCTTCCCAAGGAATTAGGATGAAAAGATCCCTTTCCCTAGAAATGTAAAACCAAACTTGTTGGATATGCTGCTCCAGGTAGGACTGGGACAGGTCCTCCCTGTGGCTACCAGTGTCACCGACGATGTGATGCTGGAGTCCTCAAGGAGAGGGACCTCCGAAGAGGACTGACCCTCAGTCCACAGCCTGGTGCTGTTGCTCTGTCTTCTCAAGCTGGAGAACCTGGAGAGAGAAACCCAGACACCATGGTCCATGGCCTCTAGATAGTCACACTGTCAAATACACCAGAGAGGGGACACCACAGTCCACATGTGGACTCTAACAGTTATGTTGTCAAATATACCAGAGAGGGGACACCACGGTCCATGTGTGGACTCTAGATAGTCGTGCTGTTGAAATACACCAGAAAGGAGATCGCAAGCCTGGAGCTGGAAAAGTGAGTTATCAAAGAGCCTTCACGGGATACTGCAGTGTGTGCCAGAGAACTGGGAAGGTGTGTCTCAACACAGGCACGGGGTCCCTGCAGACAGAGTGCAGACGTTTTTATCTCTGTCTGTGTGTGTCTCATCTTTCCATGTGTGTTATTCTTCAGGCTGTACAGCATCTAGCTCCCCTGCCTGGTATGGAGATCCATCTCTGAGTGTGTCTCAGTGTGAGCCAAACCCCTGCGCCCACAACAGGGCTGAGCCAGGAGCAGTGTGGCCAAGTGATGGGCCTATTACTAGAAGCTTAGTTGCTTCATGTCCTGGTGATGCAGCGACATGTGGGATGGCAGAGCACTGGCGGTGGCAGGCGCGGAGTGGATTCTGGCCATAGCAGAGGATTTAGGGCAGTGACCACCTGACCTGGGAGCCCCACTGTCCCAGACCTCACTGACCTATCCCTCTCCCCTGCCCTCCAAGTCACTCTCCCAGGGAGTTCCATTCCACCCAAGTCAGCCCAACACAGCCTCCCCTCCTGGCATCTAAGAAGTCCCCATGCTTATTCGGCTCCATAACTGGTGTTCCTTGACCTGAGCATTACCGACATGTGAGACCAGACATCTCTCTGTTGGGGTTGGAGTGGGCCTATCCTATGCCCCATGGGGTGGTCAGCAGCACCCCTGGATGCCACCCACCATGCCAGCAGCACAGACCCCTGCCAGTCTTGACAACCAAAAACATCTTTAGATGTCACCTGATGTCCCCTTAGGGGCAAATCGTCCCTGACAGAGAACCCTGTAAACTGGGTCTGTCCCCTGTTCACAGGTCACCTGCTCAGAAATGCCGTTGCTGACTAGCCAGGTTTAAAGCAGCTTCCTCCTGGCCCCAAGTACCCTCGGGTTCAGCACACTGGTAACAATTTGTCACTGTGAAATGGTCCCTGTGTTGACCAATTGGCTGTCTCCCACCAGATTCCCCACCTGCCTTTGGGAGGACCACATCTAACTTGCTGTAGACTGGTTTGACTTCCCCAGCTTGAAAAAAGGGAGGAGGGAAGGACTTACACTTTTTAATGAATTTTTATTACTGCTTTCTCTGTTCTATTATGAATTCATTAGAGAGAAGAAGGGCAGACAGGGTGGTTTAGGGGCTGTGAAACCATCTGGCTATTCCAGTTGCTTAGAAAAGACAGTGACTGGCACCACATTCTAAAAGTGGGGTGTGGCTACTAACCTGTTGGCAAATACAGGCAGCCGTAAGATTAGGGCTTAACTTTAACCTTAACTGTAAATGAGGACACCCATTACGGAAAACAGTATGGAAGGTTCTCAAAAAATTAAAAATAGACCCACCACACAATCCAGCAATCCCACTTTGGGGAATATGCGTAAAGGAAACGAAACCAGTGTGTTGGAGAGAGCGGCAACCCCGCGCTCACTGTGGCACAATTCACAGCAGCTGAACTGTGCAATCAACCTATGTGTCCACCAAGAGATGAATGGTGGAAGAAAATGTGGTACATAAACACAACGGAATCCTATTTTAGCACCTCTAAAAAGAAAGAAATCCTCTCATTTGCAATACAGATTCATCGGGAGGACGGTGAGTTCAGTGAGATAAGCCAGGCGGTCTCGCTCGCCTGTGGAAGGTAAAAAAGTGAATCTCCTAGAAGCAGAGGGCAGCGTGGTGCTTACTGGGGTTGGAGTGGGAGATGTTGGTCAAAGGACACAGCATTTCAGTGAGATAGGAGGAGTAAGTTCTTAGACCCACCACACAACATGATGATGTGACAAAGAATACTGGAAAGTCCTAAGAGAGTGGATGCATGCACCAAAACATCCGATAACATACACAATAAATACACACGATTTCTACTTAGCAATTAAAATAAAACAAAGAACAAAACAAAGCTCTAAACATACTTATCTCTTTGCGGAACTGAGGACAGTAAAAATGCCCTCTGCATAGAAAAATGCGTTTCAATCCTCAGTGGAAATCTGCTTATGTTTCCCCTACAGATATTTAACAAAGACAAAAGAACATTTTTGCCTGATTTACCTGGTTGTCTATGCACCGAAACTGCCACGGCCAGCCAGTGTGGTACAGAAACGGCCGCAGGTCAAACCTGTTGTCATCGGGGCTGTAGTTCTCAGCGTGGTATGCGGGGGTGAGTGTGGTCATCTTGTGTCTGTTCATGGAATACTTGGAGAAAAACCCCTTTACTTTGTCAGCCACCTGGTGGGGGGGGGGACACAACGTGGGGCTTCACATTAGCAAAGCCAGAGGCCCAGAGGCAGGAGTTTTTTTTTTTTTTTTTTTTTTTTTTTGAGACGGAGCCTCAAGCTATCCCCCTGGGTAGAGTGCCATGGCATCACAGCTCATAGGAACCTCCAACTCCTGGGCTCAAGCGAGTCTCCTGCCTCAGCCTCTCAAGTAGCTGGGACCACAGGCGCCCGCCACAACGCCCGGCCATTTTTTAGTTGCAGCCATCATTGTTGTTTGGCGGGTCCGGGCTGGGGATTCGAACCCGCCACCTTAGGTGTACATGGCTGGTGCCTTAGCCGCTTGAGCCACAGGCGCCAAGCCAAGAAAGCACAGGGTTTTTTTTTTTGTTTGTTTGTTTTTTTTTTTTTTTGGCTGGTGCTGGGTTTGAACCCTCCACCTCCAGCATATGGGGACAGCACCCTACTCCTTTGAGCCACAGGTGCTTCCCGAGGCAGGAGTTTTGACCCTGACACTGGACTAGGGAAGCTAGGGGCTGCCAGGGTACATCCTGTGTGTGACCCTACTCAGTGCAAGTGGGGGTTGCCAGTGCTCAGGCCAGGGAATTGCGGAGCTGTGACACTGTGGACTCCCTGACCCCAACCCTGTGGCATGCACACGGGATCAGGACATCCAGGGTGAGTCCACAGCATTAATTTCAGAAGGCTTCCAGGAAGTTCTGTGGGACCACCATGTTCGTGGGTTTCAGCCCCAAGAAGGCCCACAATGAGCAGAAAAGCCAGGCCATTTCGGCCTTGAAGTTTAGGTACTGCCCTCAAAAGGGGAGAGGCTCATTCTATGGCCCCTTGTCCTGGGGGTGGCTGAGCCTAACACAGGGCCAACAGAAGCCTCAAGCTGGTGAGGAGGAGAACCGGAAAGCATTACTGTGTGGGGTACAGTTTCATCTTTGGAAAAGGGACATATCATTTTTACTTGCTCCCACAAGTCACATCAACCCCTGTGGCTCTGCCTGTTGGATCTCCCTCTGTGAACCGTCATGAGTCACTGACCTGTCGTGGAGTGCAGATGTCTCTCCACATGGTAAGGAGTTTGCAGAACATGCTGTAGGGCCCCGCCTTGGCAACCTTCCGGAGTCTCCCATAGACCGAGAGCTCCGTGTAGGTCATCCCCATATCTTCCTGCAGAGGACAAAAACCATTGCACAGAGTGAACCCACATCAGAGTGGGAGGAGGGCTTCTACTGAGGTGGGGACTGGGGCCTGGGGGAGCTGAGACTGCCCCAAAGAGCCAGGAGCTGACACTCAGCCTGTTTTCCCAGCACTAGTCGGCCAATAGGGATGTGGCATTGGGGAAAAATTGACCAAGACCAGACATTCTGTTGGGAGGATAGCAGTGGGTGACCTGTGGGTAACCAAAGAATACATATAAGCCCTTAACCTCTGCAGCTTATTTGGAAAAAGAATCTTTGCAGATGCAATTAAGTTAAAGATTGTGAAATGAGAAGACTGGATGTGGAGTGGGCCTAAATCCAGGACAAATGTCCTTAGAAGGGATAAACAGAGAGACACATGGAGAAAAGGAGAGCCACAGGAAGACAGACAGAGACTGCAGTGACACAGCCACAAGCCAGGGCCACTTGCAGCCACCAGCAGATTAGGCAGATGTAAGGACCCTCCTGTGGAGCCTTCAGAGGGACCACAACTCAGCCAACACCGGGATGCTACATTTCTGGTCTCCAGAACTGTGAGAGAAGAAATTCTTGGTTTTGAAGCCACCCATTTGTGACTGTTTGTTATGGTAACCCCAAAAGAGGCTCGCACACTGAGCAGATGGGTCCTGCCTCCCGTCCTCCTGAGCCTGCTCTCTTTCTGTGCAGAGGACTGGGAAGGAGGAGTCAGGGCTCACTGGAACCTGGGTCATGCTGGAGGCCAGAGGATGCCACTGGTGCGACAGTGCTAGGCCATCAACTCTTCCAACTGGGCTCAGGAGAGTCAATTTCACCCTGAGGCTTACACAACCTGCACCTTTAGGCCAGGTGTGGTGCCTCATGCCTGTAATCCCAGCACTCTGGGAGGCTGAGGTAGGTGGATTGCCTGAGCTCATGGGTTCAAGACCAGCCTGAGCAAGAGTGGGACCCCATTTCTAAAAATAGCCAGGTGTTGTGGCAGGCATCTATAGTCCTAGCTACTTGGGAGGCTGAGGCAAGAGAATCACTTGAGCCCAAGAGTTTGAGGTTGCTGTGAGCTATGACGCAACAGCACTCTACCAAGGGTGACAAAGTGAGACTCTGTCTCAAAAAACAAACAAACGAACAAAACCCTATACCCTTCTCAATCTTTAGTACCTGATCCAATTCCCCCTTACTTCCCTCAAACATAGAGCAGCCGTCAGAGACAACATGGCCAGAGCAATCATCAGGGGCATTTTAGCATCCACAGTAGTGTGGTCCTTACCTCCAAACAGGAAGTACAGAACCCTTTGTGACATGGCCCTTGCCACATGGCCCCCACCCTATGTCTCCATCCTTCCCCACTGGATTTAGCTGCCTTGGCCTTCCCTCAGGCCTTAGTTTGTCCTGAACCCCCATAAGGAACATTGCACTTCCTGCCATCTCTCTCTATTGTGTCTTCCTGGTTGATTTTGTTCACAGCACTAATCATGGTTATGCTCTTCTCTGGCCCCTCCAGGGGACTCTACAACTCTAGGAACAGTGGCCACATCTGTTTTGTTCACTGTGGGGTCACTAGCACCTGACAGGTTCTGGAATAAGAAGCTACTTTGCCAGTTTCTTTTATATTAAGTGAATATTTTAAGGTGTAGCATTTTAATTTTTTCTATTTAGCAATAATAGTGGGACACTTCAATATCCCACTTTCAATAATGGATAAAACCAGTTAGAATATCAACAAGGAAATGGAAGATTTGGTCAGCTCCATAAACTACCAAGACAGCAGACATTTGCAGAGCTCTGTCCCCGCAAAAGCAGAGTGCACAGGGGATATTCTCTAGGACGCACCACATGCTGGGCCACAAAGGAAACCCCAGGAAACTTTAAAACACTGAAGTCATACTAAGTAGGCTCTTTAACCACAAGAGAATTAAATAGAAATTCAGTAACAGAAAGAAATTTTGGAAATTCATACAAATATGGGAAATTAAACAGTGTACTCCTAAATAACCAATGGATCAAAGACAAAATCACAAGAGGAATCCAAAACTACTCCTGGTAAGTGAAATGAAGACCCAGCACACCAAAACATGGGGTGCCTGAAAATCCACACTAGGAAGGACATTTATAGCTGCAAACATCCATTTTAACAGTTAAAAAAAAAAAGACCTCAAATCAATAACACAATGTTCCACCTTCAGACACTGGGAAAAGAAGAAAAAACTAAATCTAAAGCAATGTTATAGAGGGAAGAAAATAATAGAGATTTGAAGGAAACTAAAGAAATGGGAATGTAATAGTAAAAGAGGAAATCAGGCCAAGTGTGGTGGCTCACACCTGTATCCTTGCACTCTAGGAGGCTGAGGTGGGGAAACTGCTAGAGCTCAGGCATTCAAGACCAGCCTGGGCAAGATTGAGACCCTGACTTTACTAAAAGTAGACAAACCAGCCAACACTGTAGCAGGTGCCTATAGGTCCAGCTACTCAACGGGTTGAGATAAGAAGATCACTTGAGCCCAAGAGTTTTAGGTTGCTGTGAGCTATGCCATGGCACTGGAGGAGGAGGAAGAGAAGAAGAAGAAGAAATCAACAAAACTAAAAGTTGTTCTTTGAAAAGATCAAAATAAACTATTCATATATTCACCTTATTGGTTTTGTCTCTCTGCAAAACCCTGACTAATATAGATACAAACCAACTCAGCAGGAAGGTGAATAGACTGCTAACAGGAGAGTAAATTAATAATAGGCACTTCTCACAAAGAAAAACTCACATCAGGGTGGTGCCTGTGGCTCAGTGAGTAGGGTGCCGGCCCTATATACCAAGGGTGGCAGTTTTGAATCTGGCTCTAGCCAAATTGCAACAAAAAAATAGCCAGATGTTGTGGTGGGTGCCTGTAGTCTCAGCTACTGGGGAGGCTGAGATAAGAGAATCACCTAAGCCCATAAGCTGGAGGTTGCTGTGAGCTGTGACGCCATGGCACTCTACCAACGGTGACAAAGTGAGACTCTGTCTCTAAAAAAAAAAAAAAGAAAGAAAGAAAAGAAAAAAGAAAAACAGGTGGCACCTGTGGCTCAAAGGAGTAGGGTGCCAGCACCATATGCCAGAGGTGGTGGGTTCAAACCCAGCCCTGGCTAAAATAAATAAATAAATGTTAACAAAAATAAAAAAAAAAAAAAAGAAGAAAAACCCAGGTCAGACGGCTTCCCATGAACTTCACCAAAATTTTATACAATAATACCAGTTCTTTATAAACTCTTCAAAACACAGAAGAGAAGGAAACAATTCCCAACTCTTTCTACAAGGCCAGTATCTCCTTGATACCAAACCAGAAAAAGACACAAAAGGAAATAAAAACTACAGATCAATATCCCTTGTGAATCGACACAACAATCCTCAACAGAATACCTGCAAAACGAATCCAGCAACACACAAAAGGGATTATACACCATGAACAACAGGGAGTTATCCCAGGAATTCAAGGCTGGTTTAACATCTGGCAATTGTAGAAAGAGCATTTGACAAGATCCAACACCCTTTTATAACAAAAACACTCAAAAAACTAGGAACAGAAGGGAACTTCACGAACAATGTAAAGGACAGTGTGAGAAATTTGCAGCTAATATCATACTTAATGGGCAAAAACTGTACTCATCCCACCTAGGGTCAAGGACAAAACATCTATTCTATTGTGCAACATCTATTCAACATTACACTAAAGGTTCTAGCCAGGAAATGAAATAAAAGGCATCCAGATTAGGAAAAAAGAAATAAAATTACTTCTATTTGGTGGCGCCTGTAGCTTGGTGGGTCGACCCTGCGCTGGCCACATACACTGAGGCTGGTGGATTTGAACCCGGCCTGGGCCAGCTAAAACAACAATGACAACTGCAATAAAAAAAACAGCCAGCATTGTGGCAGGTGCCTGTAGTCCCAGCTACTTGGGATGCTGAGGCAAGAGAATAGCTTAAGCCCAAGAGGTAGAGGTTGCTGTGAGCTGTGACGCCATGGCACTCTACCCAGGGCAACAGCTTGAGGCTCTGTCTCAAAAAAACCCCCCAAACTTCTGTTTGCTGAAAGCATGGTCTGGTAAAAAGAAAATCTTAAGAATTCCACTTAAAGCTATCCAGAGAACAAGATCAACATATAAAAAAAATCAACTGTATCTCTAGATACTAGCAAAAAATAACCCAAAAATGAAATTAAGAAAATAATTTCATTTACAATACTATCCAAAAGAATAAAATACTTTGAAATTAATTTAACAAAGAAGCACAAACTTGTACACTGAAAACTAGAAAATGTTCAAGAATACTAAATGAGAGTTAATTAAATGAGAAGACCTCCCATGTTCATGGTTCAGAAAACTTAATATTATTAAGATGGCAAACGTCCCCCTGCCAAAGTGATCTACAGGTTGAGTAAGATGCCTATCAAAATCCAAGCAGGGTTTTTTTATTTTTTATTTTTATTTTTTTGCAGAAATTAACAAGCTGATCTCAAAATTCATATGGAAATTCAAGGCACCTAGAGTAGCCAAAATTATCGTGAAAAAGAACCAAGTTGGAGGATTCAAAGTTCCAGATTTCAAAACTGGCTATAAAGTTACAGAAATCAGGACAGTGTGGTACCAGCATAAGGAAAGACACACAGAGCAATGGGATAGAATAGAGTCCAGAAATAAACTCTACATCTACAACAAAGGTGACAAGATAAATCCACAGGAGAAAGAATAGCCTTTTCAACAAATGATGCTGGGACATCTGGAGAGCCACGTGCAAAGAATGAAGTCAGACCCCTTCCTCACACTGTAAACAAAAGTTAACTCAGCTAAATCATAGACTTAAATGTAAGGACTAAAACCATAATACTCTTGGAAGAGAATATAGGAGCAAATCCTGGTGACCTAAGGAGGCTGGAGGACCAGGCATCTTATGATCAAACGTCCACAGTCACTTCTTCAGCACCCACTGAGCTGCTAACCACAGCCATGGCCCTGAGCGCCACAGGTCAGTGTGAAACAGAGGAGTCAAGAGTGATTCTTTTCTGCGGTCATTCAAGCTGCTAGAGAGAATCCCCTCTCACCTGCTGGGGACCTGCATTTCCTGGTTTGCCATCTGCTGTCCTTCCCCACCCACCTCATCTCCCCTTTCCTGGTCCCCAACCATGAAAAAGCCAAATTGAAGTGTCAAAGGCCAGCAGTGCCACGGATGCTGAAGATGGGCGCCAGGCCAGGAGCCCAGATCCTTGGGCAGGAAGGAACCAGCACGACCGTGCAGCAGGTGGGGAGGAGAGAAGAGGCACCGTGACAGAGCCACCACCGTTACCTCATCCGTCTGGGACACCTGTCCGTTGGCCAAGGGCTCCAGCTCTGCGGTGGCCGGTGCGGACAGGATGCTGCAGGGAGGACACACAGAGGTCAGTCCCTGCCTCTGCTAAAGTGAATTTTGGGAGACTCCCCAGGTGGCTCTCTGGCCACTTCATGCTGTTCACAGTCAGCAGAGCCAGGTCAAGGTGACCTAACCTGAGGCTGGGAGGCACAGGGGCACCCCACTGGCACCAGTGACACCCTGCAGTAGGGAATGTCAGTGTCCTGTGTGTTGTAGGACAGTCAGGAGTGTCCTTGGCCTCTACCCACGAGGCCAGTAGCAGACCCCATGTGAAGGTAAGCATGTCTCCAGACATTGTCCAGTGTCCCCTGGTGGCACAATCGTGCAGGGAGGACAAGCAAAGAGAAGGAAGGACTTTCCTACTACAGGGAATCAGGCAAGCAGAGGCCAAGGAAAGCTCTCAGGCAGTAGTCAGTTTGATTGCTGCTAATGCCCCAGTGCACTGCTGAGATGGACGACCACGAGAGACTCCAGGCTGGAGCAGCAGGAGGAGGGAGGCCAGGGAAGAAGGACACTAGCTCCCTGTTCTAATAGCGCCTGGGGCTATGGTGCCACAATGGGAAGAAGGGGGTGGCCTGCTCACAGGACTGCAAGTGCCCAGCCCAGCTCAGGGGCAAGGTTGTCTTCATTTGGGGCATGGAACTGAAAGGGTGGGGACAGATAGCCAGGATGTACTGGGAGAGGGACCTGGAGCTCAGGAGTCACGGCCCAGGTACACACTCACCCCTGGAGGGCAGGAAGCTGGAAGTGCTCGACACACAGCTGGACAAAGGCTCTCAGGTCCGTCTTGCTAATCCCGCCTATGGGGTTGATGTCCGCACTAGAGCAGTCGTACTTGGTCAGGTAGCCGAGGAGACTGCAGTGGGAGAGAGCACAGAGAGAGCCTGAGGCCCTGCAGATTCCACCAACCCTGGCCATCCCAGAACTCTTTCTCCAGAGCCACAACCTTGGCAGATTTGAGGGTCCAGAGAAATCTAGTATGGCCAGAACAGACTACAGAGGGGCAGGGGCCCCAGACGGCTGTAGAAAAGAACTGGGCCAGAGGAGATGCCTGGGTGAGAAGTGGGTTCAGGAATCAGGAGTATCCACCTGGAGCCCTGTCTGAAAGACAGCGCCAGGGCTAGGCCAGTGGAGCGGAGGGACAGATGTCCTGAGGGGGAGGTGGGACCCTGGGCATACAGGGACACTCAGCCTGGGCAGCAGCAGGGCCTTTATCCTTGCCTGTCAGCTCTGACTCCTATGATCAGCAGAAGAATGTCCCCCTCGTGGTGCCCACATCTTGGTCCCCAGAACCTGAGAGTGTGCTACTTTGTAGGGCAATGGGGCCATACAGATGGATCCAGGGGAACATTGGGAATGGGACATGACCCTGCATTGCAGGGAGGATGCATTCACCAAGGTCTTTGAAAGTAGAAGAGGGGGTAAAAGGTGAGGGTCAGAGGAACGACCCCAAGATGCAACGCTGCTGGCTGTGCTGATGGAGGAGGGGCATGAGCCCTGGAAGGTTGGGCCCCAGAAGCTAGACCAGCAAGAAACAGATGCCCCTTGTGGCCTCCTATGGAGCCCAGGTATTGCTGAAGCCACAGACTTTGTGGTCATTATCATGATAGCCACAGGCAACCCGCTGACTCCTCAGTGGACCCAGACCCAGTGCTCTCCAGTGGGCCCCTGGAGTCTGGCCCATCTTCTCTCCATGCCAAGCACCCCCTATCACCTCTGCAGTGACTCCTGGCTGGGCCTCACTGCCTGGTCCCCTCAATGGTGCCCTGGGCCTTGCATGACCTCCTGGGCTGGTTTCTGCCCACTTCACCAAGTGCGAGTCTCTGAAACTCACCTGGAAATACCTCCCCCCTCCCCGACTCTCTCCATGGAGCAGTGCCTGGGGCCTAAGACCCCCAAAGCCCTGCAGTCAATCCCTGTGGCTACCCATACTGCCCTGTCTTAGGGACAGCAGACAGAGCAGGGTCCTTGCGTACAAGCTGGGATTTAGGGGCCAGACTGGTAAGAGGAGATGATGGTTTCCATCTCACTACTGTGCCCTTCTGGGAGCTAAAGTAAATTCAGCTGACTGAATGGACACCCTCTTGCCCAAGGGGACCTCCCCAAATTCCCAAAACCCTTAAAGCTGAGTTGCCGACCATGAGGAGAAGGAAGGTCAGACACACCAAGTTATGCCGTCCCTTTTGGAGTTATTCTTTGTAAACAGTAACATACACAATCATTAACAAGCTAGGCACTGGAGCTCATGCCTGTAATCCTAGCACTCTGGGAGGCTGAGGTGGGAGGAACCCTTGAGCTCAGAAGTTCTAGACCAGCCTGAGCAAGAGGGAGACCTTGTCTCTGCTGAAGACAGAAAAAACTAACCAGGCATGGTAGTGGGTGCCTCTAATACTTGGGAGACTGAGGCAGGAAGATTGCTTGAGTCCAGGAGTCTGAGGGTGCCATGAGCCATAGCACTCTAGCTCCAGTGAGAGAGTAAGACTCTGTCTTAAAAACAAACAAACAAAAAACCATATGAATAAGCCACATAAGGAAGGTCCTCGATTTACTTAACAAATCACCAAGTCTTGGTACACGTCCAGTGTATGTCTAGTGGCTGGTCTCTGATGAACTTCCTTCTTTTTTGCAGTTTTTGGCCAGGGCTGGGTTTGAACCCGCCACCTCCAGCATATGGGGCCAGTGCCCTACTCCTTTGAGCTACAGGCGCCGCCCTGAACTTCCTTATTTTGACTTAAAACACTCCAAGCCTCTAGACCAGGGGTCCTCAAGCTTTTTAAACAGGGGGCCAGTTCACTGTCCCTCAGACTGTTGGAGGGCCAGACTGCGGGCCCGGGATGAGTCGGCTGCTAAGCAGGATAGGCAGCTGCAGCAAAACCCCCTGGCGGGCCAGATAAATGTCCTCCATGGGCCGCATGTGGCCCCCAGGCTATAATTTGAGGACAACTGCTCTAGAAAAAGTTCATTTCCTTACCCAATTACAAATCAAAGGATCTTTAAACCCACCTATAACCTGCAATCCCCCAATTCAAGATGTCCCACCTTTTGGGCCACATCAACGTAGGCTTTTATGTGTAATTCCTGTATCCCTGAAATGTACAAAGCCAAAGTGTAACCCAACCACAGCCGGTCAAGGCTTCTTGGGCATGGCCCTCTGGGCCATAGTCACATATATTGGGCTCAGCATAAATCTTTCCCACTCATATCTCCCAACCCCAGGGACACCGAAAGAGGCATCGCCCAGGGGGAAAGTCCATGAACTGACACAGAGAATGGGGCAAAGCCTGCCTTGGGCCAACCAGAAGATGGTGCGGGGGCTTGTTTCAGTCTCAGGATGAAGCTCCAGGAGCACCGTGAGCAAGCCCTCTCTCAGTTCTGCCTTCCCAGAGCCCACCCTATAGTCACCGCAGGCCTGCTATCCAGCTCCTCTGCTCCTGTTGCCTCCAAAACCTTCTCCTGCCAGGTTTCTGTCCAAGCCGCTATAGTGAGACTGTCCTGGCCAAGGTCCCACCACCATCAGTCTGCAAACCCTAGTTTGCCCAGCATCCGTAGGTCTGGGTGCGTGCCCTACCCACAGCAGCCCCCACCTGGCTCTTAGGTCACCTTTCTTGGCTTCCCTCCTACCTCTGACTGCTTCTCCTCCACCCCGAGACCCCCTTCCTTCCCAGGAGTGTCAGGGTACTGTCCCTATCACCCCGTGATGTCAGGCGGCCTGGTGGCATTTGACGGCACCTTTGCCATTCTGAGCCCCCCTCACTCCAGAGGCACTGTCCAGGATGCAGCCACGTTAGTGCTGCATTGTGAGGTGATGCCTGCCATTCACCTCCATCTGGAAGGCTAGGAAGCATCTTGTACTGGACACAGCCAGAGCGAGCCCCTGATCTCCCCACCCTCCTCTTGCCACCAGTGGACCTTTGAATCCCCACCCTGAGGAGGCCCAGCTTCTCATGGAGACGATGACTGGTGATTAGTCCTGGTGCCATCTTGCCTCAGGGCTTCGGTGCAGTCTAGTTACAGGCAAGTCCACTCCCTTAGCAGAGCCTGTTCACTGCCTGGCTGATGCCCCTGCTACTGCACCATACCCTGGCCAGGCCTTCCTCCAAGCTGCATGGCAGGATGGCCTTGTCCCTGGCAACCCCGTCTCCATCCCCGTAGCCTGTGGCAGCCACCAACACTCTTCCAGGCCTGAGTGAGGCCACATGGCACCTTCCTTTACACACCCCGGGGACTCCTCCTGCCACTGCAGTCCCCTAATGCCAGATGGTGGTGGTTCCAACTGGCACCCCAGTTCAAGTGAAGACCCCCAAACAGATGAAAGGCACAATGGGCAGGGGGAAGAGGGGGACTGCAGCTGCTCCAGGCAGCAGGGTGAGAATCCCTGGAGGGGACGGAAGCACGGAGGGCTGGGCAGCTGTGATCCCTCCCCTGAGCAGTGGCACTCCTGACATATCCCTGATGCACTGGCCCTCCTACAGGACAGGCCTCATTCTCCTGGCAGGGACTCTGGCCTCCTCCAGCAGTCACCAGTCATCAAGGACCACTGGCTCCAACACAGCCCACTTGGCCACATCTGAGCCTGTGGACCCAGGAGCCTCACTCGCTCCCTGTCGAGGGTGGGAGCCAGGTCAAGGCCGTCTGTCCCAGCAACGCCTCCTCCCACCCCACTGTTCTCTCAGGATACTATTCCACACCTCCTTCCCATTCAAGGTGAACTTCTGAAAGTAGCGGCCTCTGGGTCCTCACACCCACCCCACTTTCCCTGGAACCTGCTCCAGTGGGCCTCTGAGTCCCCACCCCGAGGAAACCAGGCTTTCCCTCCCCATCAGGGAGATGATGACTAATCCTTAGTCCTGGTGCCATCTTGCCTCAGGGCCTTGGCTCAGGCTATTCTCCAAACTGCATCTCCCTCTCTGGCTTCCCACCGGCCTTTATAACGCCAGGCTCTCAGTGAGCCCTTCCCAGCCAACCCGCTCACGATCTCAGGCCCTCCCTGTCCCTCCTTCGTTTTCTCTGCAGACATTTTCTGTAATATAAGACTCATCAGCTTTGTTATCACGCCTCCTTCCGCTGGAGTGAAGCGGGAATTATTTTCCCAATTTGCTTCCCACACTGAGAATACATGAGAGGTGTTCAGCTTTAACTTGGTGAATGAGCATGTCGGGGTGCAAATAGATTAGAATTAGAATCAGAAGCAAGGAAAAAACAGAATTAGAAGAAACTTTAAAAAGCCTACACTATAAATCTGAGATTCTTCCCCAGAATGTGAAGAGAGAGAGGGCTGGCCAGAAACAGGAGAGAGCAGCGGTGGGAAGGCAGCCGGGAGGGGACAGCACCAGATGGGGCGGGCAGGGAGCGCAACGCCATAGGAGAGAAGTTTCCTCCATGAGGGCAGACTCTGAGCAGCGAAAGGTGATGGGAAGAGAGGAACGGCGAGGTTTATTTATTTTCTAAATACACACCTAGAAACTGCGATGCTCCCAGAATCCAAGCCCACCGTGGGAAAAGTTTTAAATATGAGAAAACAATGGACAAGAGTTATGAGGAGAAAATGTTACAATGACATAATGTGAGGACAGGTCAAGTTCTTGTTCATCTGTATAAGCAAAACATCAACATTCTCACCTATGCTGGAGTTTAGAAAATATGTCTGCCATCAACCTCTCCTGAAAAATCAGTTCCTTACAAAAGCACCACAAGCTGGAAATAGCCTAGATGCCCACCAACCCAGGAATGGATTAACAAGCTGTGGTATTTGTACACCACGGGATACTATTCAGCCACTAGAAAAGATGGAGACTTTATATCCTTTGTATTAACCTGGATGGAAGTGGAACACATTATTTTTTTTTTTTTTTTGAGACAGAGCCTCAAGCTGTCCCC